CCTGGAACTGGTAGGCCCAGCTCCTTCATATTGGCACCTCCCAAAGATCCTTCACTTCCTACCATACAATGCAATCATCCTGTGCAGCCACTCTAGCCTCTCAACAGACTCCCTGTCCCTGTGGGGATGTTCCAAGAAGGCGTTACGGGTCAAGCCGGTTGCTCTGGGAATGACTTGCCTCTGGATTTCATACTCCCTCTGCAGACTCATTTGGGGCCCGTTCGTTTCGAGCGGAACGGGGTGCCGGAACCGATCCCGGCCGGAAGGCAGCTGTATTTTATACCGGTTAGCTGTCACCGGAAAGCGTTCCGACCGGAAATCGACGTAAACGAACGGGCCCTTGGTGTTCCCGGGCAAAGAAGTAGTTATCGACTCCTAGCTGACCAGGAATAGTTCTCTGCTGATACCAAGGCTGCTCCCGAGGTGCAAGGAGATCAGGAAATGGGATTCTGCCCATTGGTAGAGGTGGAGGAATGCCACCTTGAGCGGGCAAATCATTCAACCATGGGCCTGGCATGCTCACCATTGGATGGCAACTCTCCTGTTTATGCAAATAAGGTCCAGCCGCCATGCCATTAGAGTTCAGTGGAAAGCCTGGTTGTTGCCATTGATCAACTATGTACGGCTGCGGAGGCATCAGCATGCGGCCTGTGTGAGCTGGCGGAGGAAAATGATGCCAAGGCCATGCTTCAACAGGTGCAACTAGATGAAATGGGCCCCTGTCAGTTACCCAATGGCCTGGATGAACGTTGCTGCCTCCAATGTTTGGGATTAAACCAGACCTCTTCCTATTCATTTGCTTCAGCTCCTTCAAGTTCCAGATTCGGAACCTGAATGTGCAACATGCACCAAGATCAAAAGGTTCGTCAGACCTCTTACTGTCTCCTCTCTTTTGGTTATAACCTGGGTAGTCTTCCTTTCGAAAAGGAACTTTGTCAACCATAGTAAGAGAAGAATCAGTGGCCAGGTGCTTAAGATCCCAACTGTCGTACGGTTCCCCGGTCTTGTGGGTAACATGGACTTCACCAAGTGGCCGAACAAGGTGGTGTGCATTGCGGAAAAAACCCAACACCAACTCCTTGTGCGAGCTGGAAGTCGCAGCATATGGTTAATAATAGTTTAACTATGAAAACAAAGGCCATAAATAAAATAACAGTGTTGTAGATTCCGATTGGGTTTCTGTATTGTTTAGCAGCACTAAGAAACATCAGCTACTATTTTATGACCACTGACATGCAAAGTGGAACCATCTTTATTTCATATATGTCCGGAAAAAGCTTATACCAAAATATTACAAATACTGCTATAAGTAATAAAGTTATATCCACAAAGGCAACAAAATAATGATCTTAGTTCTTGCATCAAGGTTGTATTATTGAATTTGTTGACTGAATCATCATAGGACCTAAAAACAAAATATATTCTAGCCAATGGGCCATTGAAGACATGTAAGGGCTCTCAACTTATTATTGAGGTAACATAGATGCTACTTATTCTTAATGTACTTACAAAGAGATATAGTTCATTTTGAGAAACAAGTTTAGCAGTGGTGTACGCTGTTTAGGATGAAAATGATACATTTTCAAATTTTCACTGAGATTCTACCAATGTCATTTCTGCGTAGGTTATCAATACAGAAGAGATAAGACATTCAAAAAAAAACAGAAGAGATAACCCTTTGTATGCAAATGTAGCCTTAGAAATATTCAATCAACTCTGGACTTCAGGAGCTCAGTAAGATAAATAATGAACTGATCCATATGAAGATCATGAATGACTATTAAGCCTAATACATAGTTTAATTAATGTTAGCTGCCAAATAACATGATGAGATAGTGCACATACTTGATCATATGCAAGTCGTCCTCTTTTCCTTTGAAGCCACCATGAGGAAAATTAAAGACAATACTATCAAATCGTCTGTTCTTCAAGTCAGTGTGAAACATCATGTTTTTCGCATCAACAGCATGCAAAACCGTGGTGCCCAATCTTTTCAGCTCCGTAATATTTGACTCTGCTTTGCTGTACTTACGCTTCAGAACCTCTGCAAATGAAGATTTCCCACAACAAATGCAGAAAATGTAGATAAGCCGCGCGATGAACAAGAAAACAAAAACCACAGTATGCTTTTGAGCTTGCAAAGGTAAAGACAGCATCAACAATGCATATGGACCCAAATACAAAGTTAGGATGAAGGAAATACAATACTAGAACTATTGAATGCTGAAAATTTGTCCTAAAGGCAAACTGTGGTGATTATGTGCAGTTGAATCAGGAAAAAATTATTGTGTCGCTTATTGTGGTGCCTTAATTTTCCCCTATTAATGTTCTCGCAGGTTCATTTAAGTTTATTTTTCATCCAACTGGTAACCAGCTGCTTGGATCACTCTTATCATTTTTTCATACGTGACACAAATAATTTTTGCTTAAAACGTAGTAATGAAGTGGAAATGTTAGAATCCTCATTTAACCAACAAAACTAGATCCTATCACAATCATCAAATCTAGCAGATCATATTATCGAATGCATCCATCCATCCATGGTTCCATTTATTTCTCATACCAGAGGCGCAAAAAGCCAAAAATGGGATCAGCCACAAAAAGCTAGTGCCAGTCGTATCTCGTACGCAATAGCGAAGGCAAATTTTACTTTACCCGCCGCAACAGGAAGCGGAAGCGATCGCAGTAGACAAACCATAGGTGTCGAGGGACGTCGCGACGAGGTTGGCGCCGGAGCCGAATGCGGTGGCGATCGCCAGCGAGAAGGAGAAGTCTCCGTCGCCGACGATGAGAATGGTCTGCGCAGAGGAGTAAAGCCCCAGCCACTTCACCGGGTTCACCCCCTTCTCTCCCTTCACTTCCTTCTCCGTATCGTGCCCTCCGGCGGTGACCGCCACCGGTATCCCCTCCACCAGCGGTGCCCCCTTCCTGACGACCTCGACCGGCGGCACCTCCAATTGCGCATCGCCCCCGTCCCCGCCGCTTCCCACCTCTGCATCTGGCCCGATCACCACCGGCGCGGCCACCGCCACTGCCATGAGCGCTCGTGCCGTCGTGTCCGTCGCCGCCGCCGACGGAGGCGAAGTGGTGTGCTGGTGTGGAGTGAGGCGATTCGCGAACTTTTTCAAAAAAAAAAAAAAAAAAAAAAGATTCGCGACGCGTAGCCGGAAAGGGGCTTTTCCGCGTCCGCCTGAGGTCTAGGCCTACTTGGCATCGATGGCCCGCCCGCGTTTGGGCTCTGGAAAAGTGCAAATGCTGGGAAATTCAGGCATTCAGCAGACGACGACTTTAGCGTCGCTTGCATAGTTGCAAGATTGCACCCCTATCCATAGTCCGTAGATAAGGGGAAAAATCCGACGTCTTCTTCTCTTCAGTTCAGTGTTCACAGTTTATTTTAAAAAATAGTTAACGCTACGAAGTACGAACCTCAAACACATGGTAAAGAATAAATCAACATAATTTTATTTGACTCCAGCGCATGGCATACAAAAGTCACCAGGTCCTTCTGGTCTTCTTCTTCTTTTACTGTAGAGGCTTTTCCAATAATCTAACTTAGAGGTACCCAAATCAATTTTAATCATTGAATAGTACAAAAAGCGAGAGATTAGCATGGACTAAAGAGATAGTTTCGTACATTTACCATATATTTCTCTCACACAGCACGATGTTCAAAACTGTTTATTATAATCTATCTCCTTCATATTTATCAGTTTAAAGCTAATGCTAGCTCATATTATTGGAGACGCCCTGACTAAGCCAGAAACTAGTCTTCTCTAAATAAGACCCACGGATAAACCAAATGTTGAGCCAAAGAATACATACATTTCTCAGTTGTGTATATCGTCAAACGATGTGGAGGTTGGAACGTCATTCCATTATCTAAAAAAAGATACACACATTTCTTCTCTGAATTTCTAGTAGTATATAATATTACACCCACCCTTAACTTAAAACACTTCTCATATATTTCAGATGCCTATTTTTCTTGTTATTGTTTAGATAGTATGTATTTTGGTCATTGTTTGACTATAGAAAATATGAATTATTGTTTTGTAAGTTGTCCTTTCAATTATACTAGTTAGTTCTCTAATAAAGTGTTTGGTTTGGAGAATCAAACCATTTTAGATGAAATAACGCATCATGATTCTTCAAATTTGGTGAAATAATTATATTTCTTATATTAGTACTAATTATTAGCTTTGTGAGAAATGAGGTGACTATGAATCAACCTATTTTATTTTATAAATCAAACAAAAAAAGGAGTAAGAAGATGACTAACACATTCCTCAAACCTAAGATTCTATAAGATTATTGCGTGAAATTCGTGTGTTGTTGTCTCGGTGATCGGCTGTGGCCTACTCCCTCCATACTTAAAAATGAAGTCGTTTTGGACAACTTTTGGGTCAAACATTAGGAATATAAATCATCTATAACTTTTAAGTTATTGAGTTTGGAAATATGAAAACCATATGAATAGATTTATCTTGAAAAATGCTTTCATAAAAATATACATATATCACTTTTCGATAAATATTTTTATAAGAACAAAAAGTCAAAGTTATACTTTGGAGACCGTGTCGCTGTCAAAACGACTTTTTTTTTTAAGTACGGAGGGAGTATACGGGAAAACCAGGTATCCGTTGCATGGCTTCACTGCCTTTCTGCTCATCAATATGGCTTCCTTTCTTGGCAGACTGAAGGACCCCAAAAGCCCAATGCTCGATAGAAGCCCGGCCCAATAAGGCAGCAACGACTACTGGCACCTCTCAACCGTTTGAAATTTAAAATTCAAAAAACCCAGGGCAGGCACGCAGACGTAATCAAGCGAGCGAGACCACCTCCACCTGTCAGGCTGTCACCTCACCTGATCGCCGGCGAAGAGCACAGCGGCCGCTGGTGGGAACGGGGAGGGAATACCGCTGCCTGCGGTCGTCGCCGCGACCGCCGCCAATGGGAGTCAGCAGGGGTACCCGGCGGAGGGTGTCTTGGTGGTCGGCTCGATGGCCCCACGCGCGGAGGGAGTCCTGGTGATCGACTTGACGGCGGTGGCAGAGGAGGAGGAGCAGAAGAAAGATCACAGTACGGCCTACGCACGGAGGGAGTCCCAGATCGATTTGACAGCGCAGACAGAGGAGGAGGGCGAGGGTGAGAAGGAAGCTCAAGGTGTTGATGGCCCACGCGCGGAGGGCGTCCCGGTGATGATCGACCTCACGGAGGAGAGCAGCGATGAGGAGGAGGTCAGGTGGGTGGGGCAGTACTCGTCGACCCAGAGCATCCTGCTCGTCGGCGATGGCGACTTCTCCTTCTCCTTGGCGCTCGCCACCGGCTTCGGCTCGGGCGCCAACCTCGTCGCCACTTCTCTCGACTCCTACGGTTTGCTTTCATTCGTCTAATTTCTCACCAATTATATCACTCGTGAACGAGCAGCCGATTTCGGTACTCATTATCAGAGATGTTGCATCGTTGGCTGTTGCCATGACCCATGAGCCCATGAGATGTACATGAGTGTTAGGCTTTTTTGCAGAGATATTGTCATACCATGTTTCCTGATTGCTAACTATTGATATTGTTGGGTCTTATGCATAGCCTGATATGAATAATGAAGAAATTTCATAGATTACTCTGATGGGACGATTTTTATTTATTTAATTTCCACTTATTTTCAAATGATCTTGTACAGACACCCTGAAGAAGAAGTACAGCGGAGCAGAATCCAATTTGGCAAAACTGAAAAAAATGGGGACGGTGACTGCATGGAGTCAATGCAAAAACGATGAAGCTACACACTGATCTCAAGATGAGGCGGTTTGACAGGATTATTTTCAACCTCCCCCATTCTGGGTTCAAAGGGAAAGAAGACCAACCACATATGATCAAGTATGTACACTTTGTTAGTTTATGTTTGCTGTATGTAGAATTCAATTGTACCCTGAGACAATAGCACATCAGGCAGATAAAGAGAAAAGGCCTTTTTACCTTATTGATTGATAGATAGGCCATACTATTACTACCCAAAACAACTAATATACAAATATACTTATTGGAGCTCATTTCTGCATTATGTCGTTTTGAATTGTCTCTTAGGCTACTTGTAAAAAAAATACCAAGCAGGTCTTTAGAAATGGATTCCATTTTGGTGTAGCGAATTGTTTAATTTTCTGTCAAGTGAAAGCAGATGAGTATCTCGTTTCCTTTCTCTACTAGATCTAGGTGAAAGCCATTTTGAATCAATGTACTGATCTCTAGCCTTTGTTGACAATAAAAAGCTTTGTTTCTGTCTAGTAGGGTCTGGAGTAGCCTGCTGGTTGTTTCACTTATAAGTTGTTTGTCATCATAGAAAAAACAAGTTTCTTTTCTGTATTTGTTAACTGAGTAGCTCTATGTTTTAACTTAAAAGGTGCCCCAGCCTTCCGAAGCATTTATCTGCTGTTACGTTCTTGCAGTCAATCTGTTTTTATCTTGTTCCATGTAATTCATTCTACTATTAACCTTTTGCCCTGGCTCTAGCTCACACAGGAAACTTGTGAAAGACTTCTTCCGCAGTGCAAGTCTCCTGCTCCGACCTGATGGGGAAGTTCATGTCAGCCACAAGACGAAGAACCCATACAGAAAATGGAATCTCGAAGAGCTCGCCTCAGAGTTCGCTCTCTTTCTGGTTGAGCAAGTTGACTTCCGCATCCAGGATTATCCTGGCTACAACAACAAAAGGGGGGACGGGCTGCAGTGTGATCAGCCTTTTCTACTAGGCAAGTGCAGCACTTTCAAGTTCAAGATCGGAGACATTAAGAATATGAAAAGGGTGCGCAAGCTTGGTCCGATGGCATACAGTGGGAACAGCAGGAATACCCATTTCAGCGATCATCAAATCGGTTTCAGTCTTTTTAATCCAGCTCTACTCGTTCCAGAAATGCCTCCGGCTTATGTTCCATTTCACATGCCTAGCGTGCCTGTGTCCTCAGAATTCTTCGTCCATGAAGCTGTTCCATGGTGGTATACTGGTATCGTCCAGCAGAAGCAGGTATGTGCATGGATGGTTAACCCCCATGAGATCATGAGCTAGAGAAGATACTAACATCTTAGCCTTCATTTAGGCAATTTACAGTATCCTGATCTAATCAGTGGCTTACTTTCCCGCTCTAGGTTGCATCCCCCAGCCGATCGGGATCAGCTATACTGCAGGCACCGTTCCTTGGTGTCATCCTTGGAATCGGCATCCTTGGACTTGGGGCAGCTCTTGGACTTGGTGAGGCCGTGCAACTGCGGTAGAGCCATTTTGTGGCCAAGAGGCTCAAACTGACTGCAGTCAAGTCGGTGTCGTTTTATCTATACGTGATTCCAGAGCCACGAACCTGAAGTGAAACTGTCAAGAGTCAAGGTCACACTCCGCAGTAGACCTGTCCCACTTTTGTTATGTGCGATACATTCGTGCTTTACGGATAGGCAAAACTGAATGCAGGCACTTTGCCTGCAGGAATTCCAACTAGCATATGTGTGTACCGTCTCCCTGGTAGAACACCCCACATTCCGGCCCATTTCACGTGGAAGCGGCCGGAGATTGAGCCATTGGGGTCCCTTGTAATCCATCGGGGCTCGCTGCCTGCACCCAAAGTCTCGAACCACCCGAGAGCGGCGAGCCGGCGACGGTGCCACAAGTCCACAACGGGCTGCAGACAGCATGAAGCGCGCCAGCGAGGACATGGACACTGGTCACGCATCATTGGTGGCGAGACGACCCCGTCTTGTCGGCACGAGACGGACGTGCCAACCGCAGCGGATAAGAAGCTCGCGATCAATCATCAGGTGAGGGAATCATTCCAAAAGGATGGCACCTGGACAGGGAACCCACACCAGCCCGAATGCTTGATGAGTGCGAGCGCCCAATCATTGGCAGCTGGGCCTTCCACGGCCCACGACATCTATATACTTTGAACCTTCGAGTCCAGACAACGAGTGCCTTAATTGTGAAAGAGTTCACCGACATGGATAGGGTACAAGTATAGAAGAACATCACTGCACTGCATCGTTTCTCAAAAAAAAAAAAAAAATCACTGCACTGCATCAGTGAAGGTACAGCTCGGTGCTGGAAGCTCTGGAAACAGACAGAACACGTACGTGGATACGATTTCCCTAGTTGTAAAAGGCAATTTCTTAGATTACTAAGTGCCTGTTTGACTCCATTAGTATTAAAAATTAGTAGCTAAAATTAGTATTAGTGGATCCAAATAGATCTACCAATAAAACAACTAATTATTAGCTAGAGGGTTGCTAACTGTTAGTTCTATTAGCAGGAGATGCTAATAGGTGCTATGCACCTTTAACTCACTATCGAACCACCTATTAACAGATGGATCAAAACAACCTCCTGCTAAAAGTTAGGTAGCAAAAAATTAGCAGCTAGGTAGCTATTTTTTACTGCTAATAAATCCAAATATAGTTGGCCACCGTGCCGTGCCGACCTGACACGCGCACATCATGGTTGCAGGTGCCGTCTTGGCACAGCAGACTCAACTGCTTGCGTCATGCCGTGTACGATGCGTCACCCTTGTTGCGTCTCGGCCGTGCTGGGCCAGTGCCATGGGCCATGACCTTGACCCATGGCCACGGCACATGGGCCGTTCTCCGTCTTGTCTGCCGCCCATGTGCCACGGCCATTTTGGCCGTGCATGTGCCGCCCACGGCCCATCAACGAAAAAACACTCAAAATCAACGAGAAAATTCCAAAGTCTAAGTTCAAAACTTCAAATAATCACATGTCACAGAATTATAAAGTAGTAAAGAACAGAACAACAGAAGATATAATGAAAATGATTATCAAAAGTCAAAAGAGCTGTTGTGCAATGTTGTCTCATTAAAAACCTTTCTAGGTAAAACTCACCCTTGTGAGAAACCCTAGAAAGGAAAAGAGTACAACTAGCTCAAGTAGTCAAGTCTTAGTTCAAGCACAAGTCTAAGTAGTTCATCCTATTACAATAGCCAACATCGGTGGCGGTGGCGTGACAAAGCAAACAAATGTTCTTCTATCCTATTACAAAAGCCCAACAAAGGCATTGTGGCAACAAGAAGCAAAAATGTCCTTACTTCATCACTTCATGCTTCAAGCTTCATCATGGTGAATCGACTGGCGACCACTCCCAAAAGTGCAATCAACTTTGCAAAAAATGGATCATGATGGATTGATGGTCATGGACTTGAAGATGTAATGTAAACAAGCTAATGGAACAAGCTAATGGAACAAGTTTTAGAATTTCAGCAGTACTCTACCTCTCCTTTTGTAGAGGTTCTCTTCTTCTATCCAAAGACCAAAGACCAAAGAAGATCATTACTTGCCATTGCTGGCTGCCACGCCGCTTCCGCTTCCTTCGCCTTCATCCAGTACAAGTTGTCGAACAGCTCCTCCAAAGGTGCCGTGTCCTCGTGTGCATGCTGTTCCTTCCTTGCTGCTTGATCCCGATCCTTGATGCAGGTGAGCATCTCCACATGCTCGAGCAACAAAGCGCCCGCCGCGGTCTTCAAGTATCCTTCTTTGTCAAATTTGAAACAAGACTCGGAGGACACAGAGAATACAGAATGTACATGATATCGCGAGCCATTATCGATAAGATGGGGTAGGTCACTTGTGGTCACGCCACCACAACAGGATGTCAAAGGACTCCCCCAATCAAGGATGTGATCACTTTGTCCAAGTAAGCTATCGACTCATTGACACGGATGTAGAGGATGAAGTGGGGAACAGCTAGAGGAGGAAGCACCAGGGACCACCATAGATCTTTCCCCATGCCTCCTTCCTTTTTCCTGAAGGAGCACTAGGCATAGGAGGCCTTTGAGACCGAGCTGCACCATATCTCTGCTCATACTTGCTAAACAGTCTAGTCATGGACTCTTTCACATCACCATAGTAAACACCATAAGGGGTACCAGTCTGTTTAGCAAGTAACTCAAGCACATTAAAGAAGCCTTTCATCTTAGCTCTTGGATCAAGAATGAATGCATAAGAATACAAACAATGGGATGTCCCCAAAGACTTAAGGAACTTAAGTTTCATAGGAGATGCAATACTTCTAAATCCAGGATCAAGTTCAAACTTTATGCAAATGCTCAAGAAAAGTCAAGGATATGATGCATCATAAGTGGAGCAGGTTGGATAGTAAACACCGAGACAAAGCAACAGTTGCATCATAAAAAACATCTCCGTGAACTTCATAATCGATCAAGAAGATACCAAAGTCTTTGGGAGTCAACAGTTGCTCACTATAATTTGACTCAATCCACACAGAAAAACACATCTCTATATGGCGAAAGTGTTTAAGCATCGAGATAGGTGGAATTCCACCTAACATCCATATCCAATCCAAACTTTCTAGGTCCGACACCCCTAGCAATGCAATAGTTCTTAAACAATGCAATTCTTTGATTAGATGAATTCAAAAGTTGATTGCAGTCCTAAAAGCTTCAAGATAAGGATGAACCTCTTCAAGCCGACTTAACAATCGTGTTAATGATATGGCATGCATGCAATGACGATGCACAAGCAAGTACTTGACTTTGTGAGGATCTTCCTTAGTAGGTGTTGGGTAAGAGCCGGGTAGCCAAACAACATAGGTTGCAAGATATCAAAAGCCTTAGAATTAGCGAAAGCATTATCAAGACTCACAGCAAAGACCTTATCAATCAAACCAAACTCCTCAACCACACTACAAATTTTCTCAGCAATGTTGTCACCAGTATGTGCTGCCTCAATCAGCCTAAACCCTATAACCTTTTTATGCAACTCCCAATCAAAGACCAACATAATGAGCAACAACAGAGACATAATCTTCCTTAGCATTACCGGACCAGATATCGGATGTTATGGAAAGCAGATGAACAGTGAGGCAGCAAAAAGAATGCATAAGAAAGCACGCTCTTGAACAAACAACTTATGCATGTCCCTAGTAGTGGTCTGCCTAGAAATCTTCTGGAAAGCAGGATTATGAGCATTCTGAATGTAATCTTCCCAGGCCTGTGTGTCACCAACACCTAATGGAAGATCCAGCCTAGCAATCAACAAAGCACAGACTCATTACGAGCACGAGCAACATCATAAACCCGCTTATGCAACCCATTAGCATTCATAGAAAGCCTAGATCTGAACCCTCGATCATTGTCCTGCTTCTTCCTACATGTTGCCATGTGCCTATTCAAGGATCCAAAGCCAATATTGGCCCTAGCAACAAATTTCTTACCACACCGTTTACTGAGATGGCATGAGTTCTAATCTTCCCCGACTCGTCAAAGATCGGGACGAAGTCCTCCCAACAAGCAAAGCAGTGAGCTTACCAGATGAGGCACCATTGGTGTCCCGAGAGCCGAGAGGTGTCCACCCCACCATCGCCGTGCTGTTCTCAATCTCCAACTCCTCCACGGCCTCCTCGGCCTCGGGGTGCTCGCCGGTCGGCACGGTGGTTGTACTCATCCATGAGCACTCGCATCGCCACCGAGGCCATAGGAGGTTGGGGTTGGGGCTGGTTCGACCCCTAGCCCCCAGCTCAGCACCGTTCCTCGACTGCTCGGTGGGGGGGCGCTTCAAACCGACGGCTTTGCCATCGAGCCTCAGAGGAGGAGGACAAAGCGTCGAGCACCAACTCACAAGCACATGAGCACAAGAAGAAGAGCATTAGAACACAACACAAGAACTCGGGAAGATGCAGAGAAGAAGAAGATGAAGAACAATCAACAAGAACATGAACATGCTAGGGTTAGGGTTTTGATCGACCCACGCCACCGGAGCCAGTCTTGGAGAAGAAGCCAAGGAGCCAAAGATCCAAGCGAGAACGACGAGACAAGCACCCACCGTTAGACCGACGGCCGTCACAGCGAGTGGCGGCGGAAGAATATCTGACTCAACGACTCACATGGTACACCGGAGGAGGAGGACCGAGAGAGGTACGAGAGGGAGAAGGAGGGCCTGCGTGGTCAAGTCGAACGGCGGCGGCGGATCGGATCGGATCGAGTTCGTCTCGACTTCGAATCGAGACTCGAGAGCGAGAGCGGAGGGAGAGCTGCGGCCTGCGGTTGCGCGGAGGGAGGAGAAGAAGTGGCCGGCGAGGTGAGGTGTCGAGGTCACCGGAGCAGGGCCGGCGAGCTCAAGGCGAACGACAGCGGATCGAGTTCGAGAGGTCGAGGCGAGGCGGCTGCGGGCTGCTGCGGAGGCGGAGGGGGCAAAAGAATTAGGGTTAGGGATTTGGGGGGGCGGGGGACTACGGCCGCGCCGCTTATATATGGCGCGGGTGGCGGGGTGTGGGCGTGGGCATTGGGCCAAAAGAGGCCGTTATTCTGGCGGCCGTGCTTGCCACCGCCGTCGCCGCCCTCTGGCCGTGCCGCGCCCGCGTGCCGTGTCATGGGCCAGCTCTGCGCCCATGCACTCGCACGGGCTCCGTGCCGTCTTGGCACGCAACACGGTGGCAGCCGTGCCGTGCGGCCCATGGGCCGTGCCAAAAGGCCGTGCCGCGTGCCGTGCCACCGGCCCATGGGCCGCCTGGCCATATATAAATCCAAACAGGGTCAAATTTGGATTTCAGATCGAGATCAGGCTCTGCTAGGCGAGGGTCAACTCTGCACAAACCGAAAAAAAAAATCAAATTCTCGCCTGGACATTTTCTTCCTCGTCATCTTTGCATTCGTGTTTGGTGCTTCTCCAACTCTAATGACATTAGGGCCCTGGATTGGAGTTTAACAGAGTCTACTGTGCTAGAAAAAAATCCATTGTGGAGGCTACTTAGTCTGGGTGTGATAGCTGTCGCAGACTAATATCTCCCTGTTACTCTACCAGCAACACGATAGCATGCGACACCCCTAGAGAGCGAGCAAGGCTCATTAATAAATAATGCACCACCCTCCTGTCATGGAGAAAAAATCATTATCTCTTTCTCATGACTGCCTATCTCTTTCTCTATTTTCTCATAGATTTTTCCTCTTCCTCTGCCTCAGCCATCGGCCATGGCAGAGAGCAACAATTTTGTAAATATTGAGGGAGTTGCTATAACAATACTCCAATATATTTTCTCAATATCCATGTGAAAGATGGGTCCACAGGTGTGTAAATAAAGGAAAAGATAGCTGAAAAATAATTAGTTGGGACAAAGACTATTGGGGAAGGTGTAACTCTTCCTTTATTTAAACAAAGAGTACTCTTATTTAAAGGAAGATATAGAAAATATTGGTGACAAGAAAATTAAGAAGTCACTGGATAAGAGAGATATTGATGGACTACTGGATATACTCTGCCACGAAAAAGAACTGTAAAGACAGAGGTTATTGATAATAGACTAACAATAGATGGCTTGAGAACGACGCGGACAGCCTTGTTGCTCCTCGTGGGGTGGCAAGGAGGCGAGGAGATGTCAAAGGCGGGAGAAGGAATTTCAACTTTCAAGTGCTCGAGATCGCTACAGTGCCCGAGTGACGGGTAAGTGGGGGCACCACAAATCTCCGCTCTGTTTGAAACAAAAAAAGGAAAGGAAAACGTCACATCAAAAAATATATTTAAACCGGTTTCAAGTTTCAACGGCCAGGATGCTTACAAGGCACCACTTCACAAACGTTTCCATGCTTCCATCTCTGTGCCGGGAGGCCCGAACGTGCATTTCAAGTATTTCAAAGAGCGGGCTTAGCGTCCGGACGTCCGTTCCAAAGCGCCAGAGTCGGACAGTGCCGCGCGCATGAGAAGCGGAGACCACGCTACTCTGCTTCTCTTGACCGTTGCCCACACCTGCAAGCGGGAACACCACCTGCCCCGTCTGTGAATATTGAGAATGCATGCTGGCTTTAGGTGCCCGTACGGTGACCCACGGTTGGCGCCCCAATAGCCGAGGCGCGCAGGTGACTGTGGCAGGTGGGTTTCATCGCAACACGTGCAACATTAAATCTACTTTTATAACATCTAGATGAAAACACTTTCAACCTACGTCAGAAACACTTGCGAAACACCAGAAAAACTTAAAAACATGTGGGTAGCCATTACAAAACATATACAACATCCAGATTATACACTTGCATAATACATACAAAACACCTTAAACACTTAAACATACGCTTGTAACATGCATGTATATGCAACATCCATATCTACTTTTGCAACATCTAGATAAAACACTTGCAACATACGTGTATAGCCATTGTAACATGTGCAACATCCTAACCTACTTTTGCAACAATAATATAAAACACTTACAATATACCTTTGAAATATTTGAAACACTTGAAACATATATTTGTAACATGCGCTTTCAGCGTAACATCTCCTTGCTACCTGGGAGAATGGAGGGTCGTCGGCGTGTGGAGTTCACCGGTGTAGATCTCGCTGCTTCGGTGGAGAAGGCCGCGATAGGTCCGATGTAGAAGGGTGTGGCGAATCTAACGCGAGCTGTCACTGCTTCGGTGGAGAAGGCGGTCCGCGCGTTGGAAAAGGACGGGTAGGAGGCGCGATGGAGATGAAGGAATGCGGGCGGCTGCGCTCGGGGCACGGTGGATATGTCGGATGGCGAGCCCCAAGGACATCATAGAGAACATCGAGGTGGTGCGTCGGAGCGCGGTCGCGGTGGAGCACGGTTGCGGCGTTATGGTGGAGAGTCTTCTGAAGAATAGAGTCCAAAGGGCTATGGTTAAATGCGAGTGCACAAAAGGATACAACTGTTAGGGCCGTTGGGCTGGTGTCGCGGCCGATGAACGGAACGTCCAGACGATTGGACGTCTTGAGCATAACATTTCTATTCGAGAGAGTGCTCAGATGTGCATTGCTGCTTGATCATATATTCATATCAATGAATGGTTGAGATTTGGCAGAGGTTTGGGCCAAAAAGCTGATACTAAAATCGACATTCTCGAGGTTAATGTACAAGGTTAGATTACACCTAAGTACAACATTACCAGTAGTACATCCTTGGCTAATCAACACTGTTCACGGCTTGCTAAGATGCTAAGTTCACTACACTCGCAAAAATTTGCATCCCGTCAGGCAGAGAACTCCGAGACGGCGAAGGAACAGCTCGACGATTGGCCCCTCGAGTGCGCGCTCACCGGCTACACCGGCGCGGGCGTGGCGGCGGCGCCCGTGGGTGACGGCTGCTTCACGTCGTCCGCCGCCGCGGGGCGCCGGATCTCCTTGAGCAGCGCCACCACGTCCTTCATCGCGGGCCGGTCGTCCGCGCGGCGCGACACGCAGAGCACGCCCACGGACAGCACCTGCCGCATCTCGTGCACGTCCGCCTCGGCCGCCCTGGCCCGCAGCCGCGCGTCCAGGAGCTCGGCCGCTTCGCGCTTCGCCTGCACGTGCTCGCGCACCCACTGCACCAGGTGCGCGCCACCCGACAGCGTCGGGTCCAGCGGGTGCCGCCCCGTCAGGATCTCCAGCACCACCACGCCGAAGCTGTACACGTCGCTCTTCTCGCTGATCCGCTGCATCGACGCGTACTCTGCTTATTTACAAAAAAAAGATAAATATTGCCAGAAAAAATTGAACGAAAATGTTCGTAGAATCCTGAATGCTCGAAAGCTGCTGCGAAATCTCGACCTGGTGCCATATAGCCGTACGAGCCGGCGATGCGGGGCTGCTTGCCGGTGTCGAGCTTGGAGCTCGCGGCGTCCAGGACGCGGGCGAGGCCGAAATCGGCGAGGTACGGCTCGTAGGCCGGGCCGAGCAGCACGTTCATGGACTTGACGTCGCCGTGCAGGATGGCCGGCACGCAGTCGTGGTGCAGGTACGCCACGGCGTGGGCGACGCCGAGCGCGATCTCGTAGCGAGCGCCCCACTCGTCCGCGGGCGAGCCCTTGGCGGCGTGGCCGCCGTGCAGGAGGCCGCTCAGGCTGCCGTTGGGGAGGTAGCCGTAGAAGAGAAGCCAGGTGCCGCCGTTCGCGGCCCACCTGAGGAGCCGCACGATGTTGCGGTGGCGGATGGAGCCCAGCGCCGCGATCTCGCTGCGGAACGCCACCGACGTCGCCTCGTCCGACGACCACATCTTCTTCACGGCGAGGGTGTACCCGTTGGGGGTGTCCACCTTGTACACGGCCCCCGAGCTGCCGGTGCCGATCATGTTCGCGGACGTCAGCCCCCGGAGCACGTCGTCCATGGTGATGTCGAGCTTCTGGTACAGTGTCACCTCCCGAGCGCTCGCCGTGGATGATGCGGCCACCACCGCGGCGGTGCGTGCGGGCGAGCATATAGGTGGCGGCCACCAGGAGCAGCGCGCTGACTGCGGCGAGGACGGACATGGCTATCTTCAATGACGAGATGGCACCACGCCTGGAGGACTCGTCAGAGCCGTCGCCGACGACGAGATGGCGGTTGCCGGCTAGGTCGCTGAGGGGCAGCTTCTGGAAGAACGGAGTGTTCGGGAGCTCGCCAGCGAAGGCATTGTAGGAGATGTTGAGTGTGACGAGGTTCTGTAGCGCCGCGAGCGGCTCAAGGCTCCCGGAGAGCTCGTTGTGCGACAGGTCGAGGCTGCCGAGCTTGTCAAGGCCGGCAAACTGCGACGGTATCTCCCCTGAAAGCCTGTTGCTGCTAAGGTTGAGCGAAATCTCCAATGACGGTAGCATCCCGAGCTCCGATGGGATGCCACCGGAGAACGCGTTGCCGCCGAGGTCCAGCAGCTGGAGCTTCTCGCACGAACCGAGCTCCGGCGGTATGCTGCCGGTCAGCCGGTTGTTTCCCACGTACAGCTTCGTCAGCTCCGGCATGGACCCGATGCTGGAGCTCAATGGTCCGGCGAGCTGGTTGTCGGAGACGTCAATGAGCTGAAGACTGCGTGGCAACGAGTCCGGCAATGCGCCGGACAGAGCATTGGAGTGCAGGTCGAGAAACTCGAGGCTGGCGCACCCCGAAATGGCCGCTGGCACAGGGCCGACGAGGTGGTTCTCACTCATGTCGAGGAAGTTTAGGTTCTTGAGGTTGCCGATCTCGGCGGGAATCGTGCCGGACAGCCGGTTGCCATTGAGCCGGAGTCGGTACAGGTTGGTGCAATTACCAATCTCCGGCGGTATGAGCCCGGACAGCTCGTTGTTCAGAAGCAGCAGCTTGGTCAAGTTCTGGAGCCCGAACAGCGCCTTGGGGATGGGGCCGGTGAGGTTGTTGTACGACAGGTCAACCGCCTGCAGGCTCGGGGCCTCGGCGAGGGTCGCCGGCACGCCGCCCGTGAGCCGGTTCTTCCACGCATAGAACAGGGTGAGGTTGCGCAGTCTCGGGAAGTCGATGCTGATCTCCCCGGACAGCAAGTTGTTGTCGACCTCGATGTCCGTCAGCGACGTGCAGTTGGAGAGCTCCGGCGGAATGGTGCCGGTCAGCTGGTTCGTGCTCAGCTGCAGCTGCTGGAGATTCGGTAGCCCGCCCAGACTCGCCGGAATGCTCCCGGTCAGCGAATTCAGCGACAGGTCAATGAGCGTGAGCTCCTTGCACTGTCCCAGTTCCGGGGGAATTGCGCCGACGAGCTGGTTCTGCCACAGAAGCAGCGTCTGGAGGTTCTTGAGCTGGCCGAGCTGCGCCGGTATCGGCCCAGAGAGAGAATTCTGGTACAGGTACAGGCTGGTGAGCTCGGTGCAGTTGCCGATGGACTCCGGGATACGGCCGGAGAGCAGAGTGGTGTAGATGGCAATGGTCTGGATCTTCTTGAGCTGCCCGATCGTCTCCGGGAGGCTCCCTGAGACGCCAGTCTCCACGAGCCCGAGCATGGTGAGGTCACTGCATCCGCCGATCTCCGGCGGCAGCGGACCCTTCATCCCCTGGTTCCCGCCGGCGCGGAGCACCTGCAGCTTCTTCAGGTTGCCGATGCTGGGTGGGATCGGCCCACTGAGCTCGTTGTCGTAGAGCGTCAGGTACGCCAGGCTGGTGAGGTTGCCGATGTCGTCCGGGATGGCTCCGCGCAGGGAGTTGGAGTTGAGCGCGAGCGACTCAAGCTTGGCGAGACGGCACAGGTCGGCGGGGATCGCGCCGGTGAGCTGGTTCTTGCTAAGGTCAAGGGTGGTCAGCTCGCCGTACCCGCCCATCTCCTTCGGTATCGCGCCGGTGAGGTTCGTGCCAGAGAGCTCCAGCGTCTTCAGCGACGCCGCAAGCGGCTGCAGGTTGGCTGGGAGTGGACCCTGCAGGTCGACCGATGTGATGCTCAGTCCGACGACGTCGCCGCGCGCGTTGCACGACACGCCGGTCCACCGACACGGATTCGCGTCCGCGGCGCGCCACGACGCCAGCGCACCGCTCGCCGGCCGCAGCATGTCTTTCCATCGCAGCAGCGCCTGGCCCTGCTCGTTGACGCAGTGGCACGGTGACACCAGCAGCAACGCGCAGGCGAGGGGCACGAGAAACGCGAGCCTCGGTGCCGCGGCGCGGGACCGTGGCGGCATTGGCGACGCGCGCCTCGGTGGCGAGGCTGAGGCGGGCGGGTGACGTGAGGAGAGGCGAGGGGGGCGGCAATGCGGTGGATGGCTGGCTTTGTTAGGTGGCGCCTCTCGCAAGCATTGGGATTGTAGAGGGGGAGACCCCATGAATTGTTTATACAGGGAAAGCGCAGGAGATCTGGATCCAAATGAGCACCGAGCAATTGCTACAAAAAAATCCAAACAAAAGAACAGATTTTCGATTGATTGTTGCATTGTGTGTGACAGTGTGCTGCTGCTACTAAAGAGCAGGCTTGATTGGATCTTGGCCTGGACACTTAAAATAATTGTACTGGATTTAGTTTTTAATCAGGAAAATGGATACTGGATGCAGTTGTGCACTTGTGCTAGTGACGGGGAAGATGAGAGGAAGGTGGTGTGGTTGGTGTCATGATCTACATATGTTTATCCCCAGTTGGTGTACTTATTACTGCCATTGCAGCCTGAATTGTTAATTGCTGCTGCTGAGCCTGTTCGCTGGTTGGTGCTGGTGCTGGTGCTGGTTTAGGCTGGCTGGTGCTGGTTTTCTGTGAGAGGAAAATACTGTTGGCTGGCTGGTTTGGGCTGGCTGAAACCAACAAGCGAACAGGCTAGCTGTCTTTGGAGGTGAAAACATCTCTTCCTCGTGTTCTGTGAAAACAGATTAGTGCTAATTCTCTCGGTAGTCGGACTTTTATCCAATGTTCCATGGAAGAGCATTTTGCATGCACTGTCAGTTATTCTTAATCCCTGAACCTTTGTACCGTTGGTACAGGAGTTGACAGTGGCTGTTGCTGCTGGCTTTAGGCGTATGTAAGCTTCTAAAACGTTTTCCGACGGCCTGCTGTGACAGTGCTGCTTTACGGTTACCCTGCTGTGAGCCTGTGACAGTGCTTCTTTACGGGTACTACTTCTTTACAGGTAACTACTGCTCTTCAGGTATCCTCCTTGCTGCAAGTCTACTACAGCTGTAAAAAATTGCATCTTTCGATGCTAATTCAACATTTGAAGTCTTAATGTTCACATTTGCTTTACCATTACCTGCATTCATCATTGCCTGCAACTGCAATACTTACAGTCCCAGAGACCTTAATCTTTTCAGGACTTGCTACTAATTGCAAAAATACTATTACATCCTCTTTTCAGGCATTGTAATTTGTATGTACTTCTCAGTTTGTGCGCATCAATGAGTGATCCTAAATTAGTCTTCTGCAGCTCAGTAACGGGTAAATCTGTGTGAGCCCCAGAATGTGATCAAGTTTCTGCAAAAAGGAGATCACCATGATACTAGAACTGGCAACTTAATTGCTTCCTTTGAAGTGTGAACTTATCATGGGCATCAGAGAGAGGCCTGCTGGTTAAACAAAAGGGGTAAGAGTGGGAATAAGAGAGGAATCTTAGGGTGCACATGGCGGTAAGAGAAGGGGGTGAAGGTTAGTACAATGCAAAGGCATAAAAAAACTTTCAGCAACTTACCCATGTGAATAGGTGGCAAATCGCTGGAAAGTAACTGAAAAAGATTGGATGAGCGGTGATAAAATAAAAATTTTGGAGAGAGAACATGTTCATGTGTTTGAGTGGAAGGGACAATCAGGAATAAGATACTAAGATAACCACCCTATGGTTCATAGTTAAAATCCATGGATCTATCTTAGCTTAGCATCATCACCATGGCTGGTAGACCCTTTAATTTTGATAACTAAAATAACATTTCCACATCAAACTTACCACTTTTAAAAGCCCGAATGGCAATGCACAATCCTTGAAAAGAAAAATGGATGTTTGCCCACTGCTGGGTGGATACAATTATTTCATTACTGTTCGTACATTGTGTTTCCATTTTTTTCAGATCAATTATCCACCACCTTTTTTTATTCAATTCAGATGAAATGTTCAGTCCGAATCTTACTGGGGATGAACGGTTCTCCGGTTGCAAAATTTGAATTTCAACTGAAGAGGCTCCAATTATTTTGCCTGTTTTGTTAGAACTAGTCACTTATGACTTGCTAGCATGTATCAGTGAAATTCTGGATTTCAAGTCAACTATGTAAAAACAACTCTCTTTAGTAGTAATACCAATATTAAAATTAAACTAAACAAATGAACAAGTCATGCCAATCAACCGTCATTTGCACTTAACTCGAGGTTAGAATGTGGACACATGGGTGATGATGGACAAGCCATGAGACATGTTAGGTACCACGCATGGTTGATAATGTTGGAGCATTATGGGGTGGTGGTAAACATCAAGGGAATATGGGGTTGATTTGGATTCAGATCCCATCAAGGGGCCGGGTAGTGGACAAGATGGAGGCAGGGAGCACATGGTTAAGTTTGAAGCAGACTTTGTCCCGGGTTAATTAGGATAATCCTGTACCTTCTTAAAGTACTGAGGCACAGTTCTTTGACAGCTAATTCTTCCGTTAGTTCTCTGACAGTATGACATTTCTCAGGTCTGGCTGAAGCCAAGATCTGATCCTAAGCATCATGTTCCTTCAGTTAAAAAAAATGCTAGTGCATCTTTTAAATAAAATTCGATCGACTTTACATGGATAGATCTGATTGGGGAATAACTCTAGGTGTACTGTCAAAAGGTAAGTTGAATTAATTATCAGTTAAGAACATTCTTCACTGGAAAGTTGAAAGTTGAACTAGTTAAACATTCTTCACTGGAAGGTTGCAAGGACGCAGCTTCAGTTCTCAAATTCAGTCATTTTTTCAGCCTGTTCGCTTGTTGGTTTCAGCCAGCCCAAACCAGCCAGCCAACAGTATTTTCCTCTCACAAAAAAACAGCATGAGCCAGCCTAAACCAGCACCAGCCCCAACCAGCGAACAAGCCCTTTGACTGCATAGAGCAGTGCATTTTGATTTTTGAAAGCTAGAAGTAGCTGTCAAAATTGTTTGGCATCTTGATCACTATTATTTGTTTGTCTTAGTGACGGATGAGGTCACAAGGGACATACAAGGGAACATCTCTTGGTGTATGCTTTTCGCGGACGATGTAGTACTAGTTGATGAAAGCCGGACAGGAGTGAATCAGAAACTATAGTTATGGCGGGAGACTTTGGAGTCCAAAGGTTTTAGACTCAGTAAAACTAAAACTGAGTATATGAGATATGACTTCGGCACTACTACTCGGGAGGAGGAAGATATTAGTTTGGAAGGTCAAGTAGTGCCTATGAAGGATACTTTTTCGATATTTAGGATCAATGCTACTGAGAGACGGGATATTGATGAAGATGTTAGCCATAGAATCAAAGCGGGGTGGATGAAGTGGCGGCAAGCATCCGGTGTCCTATGTGACAAAAGGGTACCACGAAGCTAAAAGGCAAGTTTTATAGGACGGCGATTAGACCTGCTATGTTGTATGGTGCGAATGTTGGCCTACAAAAAGACGACATGTTCAACAGTTAAATGTCGCGGAAATGCGTATGTTGCGTTGGATTTGCGGTCATACGAGAAGGGATCAAGTTCGGAACGATGATATACGTGATAGATTAGGGGTAACACCAATTGAAGAAAAGCTTGTCCAACACCGGTTGAGATGGTTTGGACATGTGCAACGGAGACTTTCAGAGGCACCGGTGCGTAGTGGAATCCTAAGCCAGGATAGTAACGTGAAGAGAGGCAGAGTAAGACCGAAGTTGACTTGGATAGAGGCAATAAAAGAAGACTTGAAATGATGGAATATACCCAAAGACTTAGCCTTAGATAGGAGTGCTTGGAAAACAGCTATTCATGTGCCTGAACCTTGATTGCTTCTGCTGGGTTTCAACTCTAGACTACCCCAATTTGTTTGTGACTTAAAGGCTTTGTTGTTGTTGTTGTATCTTGATCACTACTATACTAGATATAGCTGTGGGGGGCACGTTCTCCAGAATTCAGTATGTAGCCAGCTATATGTAGCTCGAGGAGTCGCATTCTCCAAAATCGGAACAGTTCAATCACTGCTGCTCAGCAACAGCAAAGAGCTTTTTCATTGTCTCATAACGTCACTCCTTGTCTCCTTGCTTGCATACTGATAGCCATAGGCCCAAGCCATCAATCCAGATTGCTAGCCACAAGCCAATGCATCTGATAAACGCCCAATGGTATAAATCTTCTTCACCTGTAAGTCTGTAACGTTAACAATTTAACCATGGCAATTTCTGATAAGAACATTCTCTTGCAAACAAACTGCAATAAGTTAAGATGGTAGCAGAATGGCTTTCACTTGTTCGAGGTTCTGTTAATCTCCTTGCGAAGCATACCTATGAAATGCTACATTTTCTGGTCGGACCAAAGCTGTACAGGTACTGATCAGTTTGGGGGCATATCTGCCTGCTGCACTGGCATTGAGCCTACCCTTTCCGAGTTCATCTTCCAGGTTAAAAATTAGTAGCATAGGCCATGAAAAGAAGTAAAGACATAGATTCGGTCCAAATTGATGAACCTAGAGATGAAAATTAGTGCAAGTTGGATGTATCTTATGAAGTAGATGAACACCTATCAAAAATTGGGGCTTTACACTGCAGAGATGACAATATAATAAAACATACAAACCAAACAACTCTAAAAAATATACATGCAAAACAAATTATGTCGCAGGATCTGCAAATGAAAGCTGAGGTTTATTTAAGGATCCAATAATTCATACAAATCTTGATGTCTAAGCCCCTCACATGTTGTTCACTATAAATCCTAGAACTGGATATATGGATGTAATCATGCCCACTCCATTAGCTTAATGCACTTGGTTTCATGCCATATAATAATCGCTTGTTAACATTTGATATGGTTCAATTATTGCAAATCAACAACTTGTTCACATTTAAAACCATCAGAAAGAATGGGTAGTTCTAGCCTAACTACCAAGCCACTCTGGTAGTTCTGGCGGCACTACCCCATGTTTGGTGTTTTTCCCAGAATACACGTTGCAAAAGGGTGAGTTGTCGCAAACTTTGGAGCACACAAAAGAGCACACCCGTATCACTGCAGCATGAACTTTC